GGGCCCTGCCGAGGCCACCCCGGCTGCTTCGGGCGGGTTGGCGGCTTCCCGGCCGGTCGGCGGCAGGTCGGCGGCTGGATATGCGCGCGAGTGTACGTGTCGGAGCGCCAGGTTCAGCTCCCGGGGTTGCTCGGAGGGATGTGGAAGTCTCCCTGGCTACCCGGAGCCAGCCAGTCCCGCACGCTCCAGCCGGGAACTTTCTCACTGGCTCTTGCCGCCTTGCAGACACCCGGAGCGCCTCTGCCACCCGCGCCGCGGGCTTCCCGGCAGTACCCGGCCTCTCTGGGTGTCGGCACGACCCCCTTGCGCACCCTACTGCGGAACGGATTCCCCAGGGGGTTGCACAGATGACGTGGGGTGAGGTCCTAGGGTCCCTCAGGTCTGGGACTTCATAGCTGCGGGAGGGGTGACACTGCCTCCGCCCCTAGCGGGGCTGGGGAAGACGCGTGCCATCAGTTCACCAGCCTGACATTGGTGTGCCATATAATCTGAAATATTAGGTTCAACCAGGGGCGGATTTACCTTGAAACTAATGAAGTTTAGGGTCCTTCAGGGTCCTTCATGTGCTAGGTCCCTGGTGGTAATTTTGTATTAGGAATCTTGCATTTCTTTTCTTAAAGAGCCCCCACCCCCAAACTGCAGTAAACTTCGGGCCTCACAATATCTGGATTCACCCCGGCTCCTCCAACTTACACCTTTTCCATTACTAGTCTCTCAGGAGAACTCACAGCTCTGGCTGGCAAGTGGACCACCCCCGAGTGCTGGGACGGTCCCTTAGTGCCTGGAGGATGAAGCACTGGGGCAGGAGGCTGGGAAATTTGGAGTTGGGGGGCAGCTGCTCTTCCGCAGGGAAAGGGTCTGGCTGTCTGGCCTTCCCCTCTGGCTCCACTGGTCCCTTGTCCCACCCTACCACCTGTATCATTATGGTGATCAACTATCCTGGTTTGCCCAGGACTGTCTCGGCTATAGCACTGAAAGTCCCGCATCCTAGGAAATCCCTCAGTCCCATGGCAAACCCGGACAGTTGGTCAGCGTATGCCCAGACCTTCTCAGGACTGCTGGGCAGGGATGGGTTGGCCTTCATCAAGGAGTGGGCAAGACTTGTTTTCTGGGGGTGCAGATTTGGCCTAGGCCTTCACAAGGCCTCATAATTTGTGACTGCGACTCCCAAGAAGGCCTATCCAGGCTCTCCAGAAACGAAAAGAGGAAAAGTTTGCCGACTGTGCATTTCTCCACTCTAGCTGCTTGCAAATTCCTGTGCATTGGCTGCTTTTGTGTGAACAGGGGCAGGGAAGGGCATTTGAACTTGGCCAGCAGTCATCCTGATTGCACTGCAAAGTCTGTAGGTTTACTCTGTCCTGTCAACTATGGTGGTCACAGGGAAGGGGCCCTTGTCACCCCGAATGATCTCTGAGTGTCACCTGTGAGGCCATCTTGTAACTCCATCTTGGAGACAGCTGCACTGTGTTGGAGTAGGCCCTTAGGCTGACAGTCTCCACCAAAGAGTTCTGGAATATCTAGTCTGCCCAGGCCCTGGGGCACCAAGTCTCACTGTCCACCACCCCCACCCCCAATGCAGGAGCCTGTCTTCAGGACTTTCCTGCCAGGTGCAAGGACAAACTGCTGGGACCTGCCCAGAAATTTGTAAGGCAGCCAGTAGCACCCCTTTTCTCCTCAAAGTAACCTTGGGGATTGATCAACTGGCCTCCCCCTGTTGACCCCAGAGGCATTTCAAGGGCATTTTGGAGCACTCTTGGCATGTAGAAGTGAGAGTACATGCTCATCACCTGTGGAATGTGTTGGGCAAAATGACCTCTCCCATCCCCAGGGGATCTGAGGATTCCACCCTGGTGTTGTGGGTGTGTCCCTGAACCTGGAGGCAGCTTGGGTGGGGGTGAGCATGGGGGTGGAAGCTACTTGCCTGCCCCAGCAATTGCTGTGAGCTGAGATGGAGGCCAGTGGATGAGTGAGGCTCATATCTGCCTCTGTCCACCCAGCAGGCCCCTTCCTGGCTGGGAGCTCAAGCCACTCAAACCCTCCAAGACTGGCTGGGTAGCTCTATAAACCAGCTGTGGAGGCCTCTCTCCACATTATCTGGGAGCACCAGACCAGGCTCACAACTAGGGGTGCAGAGAGAGCCTACTGTAGACATAAGCAGACCTCCCACACAGCATCAGTCCCCTGCTGACATGTCCCTGCTTATGCAGCCCATGGCTCAGCACCCCAAGCCTGCTCCAGTCCATAGGCTTGGGGCACAAGGGTCCTAACTCCCCAAAGGGATGCCAGCCATGAGGTTGCTAACTGCGTAACTTGGAGGCTGAAGTGAACTGGTGTTGGGACAGAGTCCCAGGCACAACATGTGCACAAGAGTGGAAAAATGGTCCCAGCTAGTCTTGGTTTGTGGACTAGACCGGACCCTGACAGTAAGGAGAAATAGCCCCTGGAGGTCAGGAATAAGTCTGCAGCCCTTATGGAGTAAATGCCTCCAGGTAGCACAGAGGTTTCTACAGCAAGAAGTTGCTGCTTGCCCAGCCTGTCAGGCCCTGTGCTTGCTTGCTACACTGTCTAGCCCTTAGCTCAGGCTGGGGTGTGGGACTAGCACCAAATGTGCTGGTGGCAGCAGTGCCAAAGCCTCCCTCAGACCTTGAGGGCACAGCTCTGGCTGCAGTGGCAGGGGAGAGATCAAGCTCACAGCGAGTCTGAGCAAAATGATATATTTAACATCAAATATACTCAAGGACTATTAGGATTAAGTATTCAAGATGAAGGGGAAAGTGAAACCCTCTGAGCTGCAGATGAGGCATCTCATTAGAAGCAGGCACTTTTCTATTTTCTCAAAGGCTGATTTCCCTGCCTAGAAGAGAAGAAGATGGGCTGCAAGCCCCCCCCCCCCCCC